GGCTGCGTCCCCTCACCGTGACAATAGGGCCCTGTAGTGTCGATGCTTAGTGATGAGGCCACCGACTTAGCCAACTTTATTACTTTATTCTGATTTCTACTCTCTAATATCGCACATACAGGGGGTACCAAAAAGTTTGTGAATTTTATGTAAATCAATAGCACTTTTATTAGACTGCAATGTTGTAACAATAGCATATTTTGTCCTATCTTTTTTTTTTCAAAAGTACAACTACTTTGCTTCAAATTAATTAAAAAAGCATGAGTACTTATATTGTAAATACAAAAATAAAAAGTTTTTGAAAAAAAGTTATTGTATTCACAAAATTTACAAATTTTTTGTACCCACTGTAGATACTAATTATCCATTTAAGAATAATCCTTTTTCTAGACGAATGATTTTACTATTGCTAGACGAATGATTATGTTGATTATTATGATCCGTGTTTCGTAGTACACTTGTCGCAGACTTACAATGGGTTCACATCTCGAATATATCTGAGGCGAGGATATATTCTCCATAGGACTTTCTATACTATTCGTAATATTTATAAATATACTATTAAATAAGAATTAAACTAATTTAATCGCTACTCTTAATGGCCTATTAATTTTGTTAATATATATTTAATAATAACAGCGCCGTTTCATCATACGGACGAAGACGAATAATATATCACCGAAGGTCAGATATAACATATGTGCCTGAATACTAACGGACGAAGAAATGTCGTTCTCACATAAAATATTAATATTCGTTAGATATTATATCGTAAATATTATTTCGTTATTTTCTGCCGCCACATTAATATTGCTCTTTCCATTGTAATGCTCCTGTTGGATTTTCATCAAGAGTATGCTTCGTGTCTCTATCACACTCTATGGCTCCGATACTCTACTAACATTTTGGCATAAGTTCTTCCTCATTAACGAAATAATATTTTAAAATAACGTTAAATTTACCTGATCCGGGTGGAATTTTGACCAATTAAATAATTCCGCAGTAAACAGCGAAATCGGACAGCACCATTAGAAGTATTCTAAAAAAAAAACAAGGAGAAAAAATTGCACCTTATATTTTTAAATCAATGATACCCAAACTCTCCAGGAGTATTTAGATGAAGAAAAAATTACGTATGAAATATATCAAGAAGAACGAAAAATAATAACGATTAAATGGGCCCAAGTAGACATTATGAATTTTAGTGTATTAATATATTGAGGTTTTGGACGAAGGCGGTGATGAGATAAAACCAAGAACGTTTCTACCTTTTGACTATTAACATGAACATACAACACGAGTTTTTCGACGCTGTGGATGGGCTGCTGCTTATATAGCTTCAGTCACAAAAATATTGAAACGCTTGTCGCGTAATCTGTCGGGAATGTAAGAAGAAGATTTTACTGCGTAACTTTCTGTCTGGCGTCAGTCAATCGGTTTGCCGTAATACTATAATAACATGTTCTAATTTTAAGCAAATGTTTTATGTTCATCAAGTTGAATGCTAATTATTATTACATTTGCGATGACATAATAATATTAAGTTGAAAAATTAGTCCATGTACCACTAAAGCAAAGCCTTCCCAAACATCCTCGTGTTATCTTGGCCACAATTAGCTCACATAATTAAAGCCCCATATTAATATCGATATTAATATTATGTTACGAAGAAATTTATATCGGTAAATCACATGATCAAATATTCCCACTTGATCATAATCATCATCTAAAATTAGTAACACCGCCTTATTTATATTATCGTTATTATGTGTAACGTGTACTAAATTTAGACGGGACAATGACGTTAACGTTAACGTTTCGTTTCGGTTTCCAAAAAAGGAAATTTTTTACTTTGTTAGTATCACAAGTCAGACATTCCAGTCTTTTCTATCCCAATACTTATTAGATCATATTGTACAAGTAGACCCAATCTCGACTAACCACAAAAAGAAAAATGTGAATGAAATAATTTCTATACATGCGAGTATGTAAATTAGTTTAAATAATGACGTGCAAAAAAAAATGCTTGGAAAGTTTTGAGATTAATGTTCAAATTATGAATAATTTAACCACCTACATATCCTCCACTTTGTAATCGCTCAACGAGTGAAGTAAAACATTTGTCAATTGCCAATGTCAATGTTCCACTAGTACTAGCATTACGTTCGTCTGTCTGGTTCAGACTTGTCGAAAGCTGATGACTCGTAATGGTGGTGACTATCCCCCATACGATTTAATTGAACTTCGACCCGATCTTTGTCTGCTTGGAGGATATACAAGCGCAGCTTCAAGTGGCGTTACTCCTGATGCTGAATGTCTTGTGTATGTGTTTGAATCCTGTGACGATGATCTCTGCATTTGCCCAAAGCTTCTGGACGACCTGTTCAATTGTCTTAGTCTATATAATCTATCTC